CGCTTAATTTCGTCAAGGTGTGTATTGTTAATGCTGATGGGGCTCCTGCTGCTTCCTCTCTCGCTGCCATTACTAAGTACCGTTGATCCCCCACACGGTGTCGCTTCCCAGCTAGTTTTCGGCATGGGCGGGAATTAGACCAAGTCTGTCAAGTACAGTACTATGTACAACTACACGAAAGATCAGAATTTGCTCTGCTGGATTGTGCACATTTTCCTCCACAGGCCTTCACTGGTATGTATTGTGTACAGCAGTACATGTGTCGCTTCAACACTGTATCAGGCGTACACGCTGAAGTCCCTTCACAGGTAGATTTTCGACAGGGGGGGGGGGGGGCAACAGTACATTACGGGATTAGTATTACTATCGCCGGCACTGGTGCGGTTTGGATCAGAGTTTACGTTCTACAACCATTGAATATTCTTCTTGGCTCGAACGATATTCTCAAACTCTTCAGAGCCGGTGTTTCCCCATCCTTCACCACTTTCTTTGGATCAGTCGTCTCGGATCCAGAGCAACCTCCCTCACCCTTCCTTCCCAGCCCCCCCACCATCAGCCCTTCGAATTTGCACCATCCATTCCTGTCATCAGCGGCACAGTCTGCAAACTACACAAGACACAAGAATGTTTCATGTCCACCTGACCTGACAATCTCCCCCTGTTTGCTTTCTTTCTTTTGTGTAGTGTGTCATTACAACCAATCTCTTCACGGCGTCCATGAATGCCAGTGATATGGAGAAGTGTCTGCACTTGGTCTTGACATTGTTGGAGGATGAACAACAAGAGGTAACCTTCTCTTTTTTGATGTCTCTTGCCTCTTCACTGTGTCTAGTATCTCTATCTCTTCCTTCCATGTCCTCAGTGTATCCCTGTGGGCACACCTTTTGTTTGGAGTAGTACCTATTCTCGCCAGACAATTGAATAGGACAATTGCTGTGTGTATGCGTCTATGTGTATAGTATAGGATTGAGATGAGAAATCGTTTTACTCTTACGTGTGAGCCATGTGCCCACGTTTGTGCTCTGCGCCCATGTAATAACCAGCGAAAGTACTCGAGTATGGTACTCGAGTTGCTTGAGTATGCTTGAGTACGTAGACACATGCGAGGTTCGGGTTCGCACCGGTGTACTACGTGTGAATCTCCTGGGCCACTTGTCCATTTCTACACAAACGTGTTATCGTGGATTTACACGTCGTGTGAATCCCATATCAGGGATGTAATGGATTTTTGATTTTTTGAATTTATTCGATCTTTCGTTGCTTCAAGATTGTTCAACTGGGTAACTTTGGGTTCAAAGGTTCGAAATAACCGCCCATCATGGGGTCACGCCACTTCCTATTCCATTTGTCAATATTTTGATTGTGTGTACGTGTTTGCCTGTGGTATGTTTGACACTATTGTCGCTGCCTGGCAATTGTGTGTCGTTTACACTATTCAGGTTCGTATGGAAGCCAGTGAGTGTCTGAGTGGAATGATCCATGTACAGCTTGTGCCAGTTTCAGAATCATTGCTCGTAAGTGCCTTTGTGCGTGCGTGTGGGGAGGGGATGTTTGTGGGGGTGAGGGGGTGGATGTGTGCGTGTGTGTGGTGGGGGGGGGGGGGATGCGGGCGTGTGGGGGTGAGGGGGGGATGTGTGCGTGTGGGGGGGGGGGGGCGTTTGTGGGGTTGAGGGGGTGGATGTGTGCGTGGGGGGGGGGGGGAGGTGCATGTGGATGTGTGCATGGGGGGGGGGGATGTGTGCATGTGTATTTCGGGGGGAGGGGGGGGGGGGGCGCGTGTGTGTGCGTGCGTGTGTGAAACGGAATGTGTTGTCAGACTAAATGCACGGGCCCTGCTGATTTATACCTTGTAGCTATTATGGTGTGAATGTTTTAGTGATCAACTGCTACTCGCTCATAACACTTCGGAAGTAATCTTTTTGACAGAAAATCTGATACAATGCAACTACAATGGCAACTGATCTTATTAGTATTAAAAGTACTACTAATTGTGTTAGTTATACTCAGCGGGTGGAGAGCCAAGGATTAGTTTATAAGAAGAAAAGAGGACCATGAGCTGCTGATTGTAAAGTAACTGCTGTGTCCCATATGGTGCAGTGGTATGTGCAGTCGATTTCCAATCGAGAGGTTGTGGGTTCAATTCCCGCCGATTATGGTCGCACACGTCTTTCTTCTCTTTCTCATTCTCCTAGCTCTTGTTTCATTCTCCTGGGTGGTTACCAACAGCCAGTGTATGCCAGAGTATGTGGTGTGGTGTGTGTGTGTGTGTGTGTGTTGAAAAAGAAAGAAAAAGAATGAAAAAGGAAAAAAGGAAAAATAGGTATTCACTCGTCAGAAAAAGCCACTTCAATCAGCTGTGTGGTGGATACCAGTCTAACATTAGTGGCGATCAATTCACCAGCCTTGCAAGCTGTTGAATGGCGTAATCCCAGCACAAGTTGTTATGTCTAACATAGCTGTTCGTTATCATCGCTTCTGCGATGGGCATGTCTGAGTCTGAGTGTGTATGTGTGCATATGGATATTATGTGTGTATATATGTGTGCGTCTGTTTGTGTGCTGACGGTCTCATTCTTTGTCACTGTCTTGGATACCCTTTTCAGGAACGCCTGCGAGGTCTGGCGGCTACGCCATTGCCCAAGAAGCGCACTCTAGCCCAACTTGCTGCTAACTATGTGCCGAAAGGTGAGCTCCTCTACTCATCTCCATCTTTTTCCACGCTCTGCTTTATGTGAGATCTGTGCTGTGTCAAGTTGAGTGTAATATAGTTTGAATGGTCAGAGTTCTATTTGTGTGTGTGCATGCATGCGTGTGTGACCAGAAAAGCCACTTCAATCAGCTGTGTGGTGTACACCAGGCTAAATTTAGTGGCGGTCAATTCATCAGCCTTGCAAGCTGCTGAATGGTGTAATCCCAGCACAAGTTGTTATGTCTAACATAGCTTGTTCGCTATCATCGCTTCAGCGATGGGCAGGAGTATGAGTGTGAGTGTGCGCACGCGCGCGCGTGTGTGTGTGTGTGTGCGGGAAAAAAAAGAAAAAAAAGACCAAAAAGTAGGGATTCACTGGCCAGAAAAAAGCCACTTCAAAGCTGTGTGGTGTAGACCAGGCTGAATAGTGGTGGTCAATTCTTCAGCCTTGCAAGCTGTTGAATGGTGCAATCCCAGCACAAGTTGCTATGGCTTCTGCTGTAGCATCGCTATCATCGCCTCTGGCGATGGGCGTCCAATGGTCAATGGTCAATGGTGTGTGTGTGTGTGTGTTTTTCTGCACCTTGTCCTCACCCACTTATTGTGGTGTGGGGAGCCCATAAGGGCGAGCTCACACTGCGACCAAAACCAGCGTCCATGCGGCCATGCGGCCAAGTTGCATGGCAACGGCATGAACTTGACCAAAACGTCGCGGCCACGTTTCAAATCGTGACCGCGACCTCCGGAGGGGGGTGCCACGACTTGGCGGCAACATGATCGTAGACGTGAAGCGTATTTGTGTACAACCTGGCCTGAAGTGTGTTCAATTTCTCAAAATCCGGTGTGTTGATTCATGAAACATTTATAAAAAATTGTAGTTGTGGTCCTGCACGCACGCACCGCCATACATGCATTCGTTGCCCTATTTGGACGATGTCAATTATTTTGGTCTTGTTTTTGTAGTTGCTTCGTTGTCAGTTGATCGGGTCAGTGACCAATTTCTAAAGTGTACTCGTTCAATACGATGGCAGCTTGGCCTGGCTTTTCGGTTTGGGGAATCATCTTTCTCTACTTTTCTGCGATGATGGAATGCCATACCTCAAGACATTTCAGTTACATATCATCGGAAAATACAGTTCTCATCTCGGCAACAGACGAAAGAAACCACTACCGGAATTTCCACTGCACTGGCACTTGCTCTGACCACGAGGTCAGGAAAGCGAAAGCGCTTGGATGTCAGCGGCAGTCTCTCAAGAGTCCAAACCTACCCGATTGTATGAATTATTTTCGTCGACTTCAAGAATACGAGCCACAAGGCACTTCCTCCAAAATGCAACATGCGGAAAATTACATCCAAAACGGGCCACAACTTTATTAGGAAACGCACGAACTCTTTTGGGTACGAACTGCAATTCGTAAAGTTTGTGTGACAACTTCACGTCTACGCGTGTACGAGGCCTAGTGTGAGCATGACTGCCACGTTTCTGCGTTTTGCTGACGCATGGACGCGTGCTCATGGTCGCAGTGTGAGCGCGCCCTAAGTGGGATCATTTCCAAGTCCACCCAAAGTTTGGGGATTTCAGGGGGTGTCGGCCGTTGGGCGGTTCAATAGCCAATTGAGTCATCCTTCCAAGATTCCGTTTGAGTCTCTCTCCCCTCTCCCGGGAGACCCACGTAACCAGTTTTGGCGGTACGCAAGTACAAGTGTGTGTGTGTGTGTGTGTGTGTGTGTGTGTGTGTGTGTGTGTGTGTGTGTGTGTGCGCGTGTGTGTGTGTGTGTGTGTGTGTGTGTGTGTGTGTGTGTGATGGTGTATGTGTGTACTGTTCTCCATGGCATGAGCGGCGGTGGCTGCTACTGCTACTCCCTGTACATTATGTATCCCGAATGACAGGAGTGATGCAGGCCCCCAGTTATGTAATATAGACAGTGGTGCGTCGCACTCTGACCCGGCCACAGTTGCGAACTCTTGCTGATGGATTCTTGGTAACATCAAGTGTACATGAAACCCAGAGTGTGCTGCAGCTCGTGACTTTCTGCGTGGGTGTCTGTCATGGTGAAATTCCTGGATTCCATCATAGTTGAGGCAGATAAGCGCCGGGAAGTGGCGTAGTGCATGCAACTGAGCTGCAGTTGTGCAGCAGGAGGTCTGCTTGGATCCTGCTTGTACGCACTACATCACCTAAATGATGTAATCCAGGAATGTCACCATCACATCTTGAGCTGCAGACTCAGGGTTTCATGTACTCATGGTCCCATTGATACGGATCATTTACGCCTGCTTGTTTGGATGTGGTGTTAACTGCAAAGTATGCCATGTGCTATGTTATGTTGTGTCCGCGTTTCAGGTCTTGTCCTGCGTCATGCCGGTACCCTGGGTCTATGTTCATTGATTCGAGCATTCCCATACTCTGTACCGTCATGGATGCCTGAAGTCCTGATGATCTTGGATCGGCACATGGCTGACCCATCGCCCATACAGGGTACTGTCAGAGAAGCCTTGTCCGAATTCAAGCGTACTCATCATGACAACTGGGAGGCTGACAAGCTCAAATTCTCTGATGAACAGCTTCAAGTGCTGACAGAACTCTTGATCTCGCCCAGCTACTACGTCTAACGACTTATTGCTGCTGCTGCACGTTTTCTCTTGGCTGACTGCAGCTGTAGTTTTTCTCCTGTGCTATGTGTAAAGGGCACTAGCGTCTGTTGCCCTAGCCAGGCGTTTGTCAGGCTTATGTCAGGCTTGTGCCAGTAGCCACCAGAGCACCACCCCAGTGTTTGTGTACATACATACATCACTGGTCCTCGGTATTGCCCGATATTGCCCTGTACTGCCCCTGTATCGATACGAGTGTGTGTGTTTGTGTGTGTGTGTGTGTGTGTGTGTGTGTTTGTGTGTGTGTGTGTTTGTGTGTGTGTGTGTGTGTTTGTGTGTGTGTGTGTGTTTGTGTGTGTGTGTGTGTGTGTGTGTGTGTGTGTGTGTGTGTGTGTGTGTGCGCGCGTGGGTGTGTGGGTGCATGTGTGCGCACATGCGTGCAAGTGCCCGTGTGTGGCATGCTCTAGATCTTATTAGTGTGCATGCTCAAGTCATGCTCAATTCATGCTCAGGTCATGCTCAGGTCGCGCTCATACCATACCCTATAGCGTGGTATTCAGTGCAGTTGAATCTCTGTGGATACATTACCAGTGGCTATGTCACTTCCACCTTTTTTTCACCCAGCTCATGTAAACTTTCATTCCATATGTACCGACAATATTTCCAATTCATAGATATTCCTTTTTGTACACCTAGTCTATTCTCCTCGGGACGTCTTACTTATTTTGCTCACAAACATTATCTCATGTCTGTAAATGGACACCGTTTGCAGACATGCTGCATGTCGTGCAGTTGTATTATGTCTTACAGGTTCAACGCATCACACCCCGTATTGATTTTAGCCCTGCCTGGTGCAGATGTTGCTTGCTTCTCTACTTGCATTTGTATTTACAATGTTGCGTCATCATGACATCATCATGGCGTCATGTCATATGTGTCAGCTCTGTGTGCTTGTATTTCTTTTCTTTCTCTGTAAAATATCTTGTCTGTGGTATGTTGTCTCGATGGTTTTGACGTTTCCGGTCGCAGCTTTTGCTATGCTTTCCAATCACTGTGTGACGCGTATCCACTGCCCTAGCACTATTCGGTATGTTGTCCACATAATATGTGCTGTAATACATGTCATGTGTAATGAATTCACATACTGCAATGTTGTGTGCAGCGTTCTTCCAATCTTGGTGTGTGTGTGTGTGTGTGTGTGTGTGTGTGTGTGTGTGTGTGTGTGTGTGTGTGTGTGTGTGTGTGTGTGTGTGTGTGTGTGTGTGTGTGTGCCTTATCTACTACTAGTGTTGTTTGGCTGAACTAGATGTTACCCCAGTGTGTGACCTCTCCATTACTGCCACAATGATGTGTGTGTAAAGTCCAGGTTTCTTGTTCTTCATGGACCCCGAGTTGTAAGTACACTCATACCTCTCTTATCCGGGCGCTTCGGGACCGGACACTGCCCGTAACTTCGAGGGTGCCCGTAACTCCGAATCATATACATCTTGATGGGGAAAAGGCCATCGATATGGCATATGACGTCAATATTTCTACGAAAAGTGACAAAAGAGTAGTAATATTTCCCCTGAAACTCGCCCAAATAGTGCCCGGTAGACCGAAGTGCCCGTAACTTCGAAGTCGGGATAACCGAGGTATGAGTGTACTAGTAAGTACTGTACTGTCTGTACCGGTTACACTCTCACTTGCCTCTACATGTATTGTACTCATACATGTACTATGTTATCTGGTGCAAGTCTTGATACCGGTATGTCTCATTCAGATCCTGTTCGATATCGTTGCTATAATAGTATAAGAAACTCTGTGGGTGCACATCCAGTGCATTTGCAGATTTGCGTGCTTCTCTTGCGACGGGTGTATACATGGTACTATCTGCCGAGATGAATTTTTACTATGCGATGCGCCTCTTGCATTCTTGAAGCAAGGAGGCGATCGCGACCACCAAGATCACAAGTAACACAACAGGCACCTCGGCCACAGCCAGATAACGAGACTAGAGCTTGGATCCCCCTTGAAAGGGACATGTCGTTTTATACTTTACAAAGTGGCTACGCGCGATGCCCTGCGACCAAGTGAGCTTGTTGTGTGATCGCCCAAGTCGCAAAATCTCTGCAACATCAGCCCAAGTGGTATTGTATATTCTACATAAATCTCTGCAACATCAGCCCAAGTGGTATTGTATATTCTACATGTACTGGTTGTATATCCCGACCCACCCTGCCGCTGACCCGAAATTTTCTAAGTCCCAGATTTTTGCCAACTCCCTATGGTGTAAACGGGGAAAGCAGGCCAGAAATTGCAACGAAGCGTCGTTGATGGGAATTTCGAAGAGCAATGGGTAGTAACGAAAATTAGACACGTCCTTGCATACCCTGGGAACATCGAAAAGCTTCTGGGATGTTTGAAAAAGCTTGGAGTAATTTTCGAAGGGTCGATAGATGATGCGGTGTGCAGGTGCAATGCTACCTATGAGGGGTGAGTGTGGTGCGGCCAGGCTGCCAGCACGCACTCCACACAGTAGATCTACGTTGGTCTACCATGTTTTGTACATGTATTTGGATGGCCTTGATCACTGTACAAAGTGATAAGATCAGAAGGTATGCACGCGGATTTCCTGTGTCCGGTGGTGACTCCGATGGGCCGGGTGGACTTGGAATTGGGTGTGATGTTGGCGTGGGCAAAGGCGATTTCTGTGTGTGACGCCGAAGCACTTGGTATCAAGACGGGTTCTCGACATTTCCAACCCGGATGCACGGAAACATCGTGAATACTAAGAGAGCGAAAGGGGGAGAGAGAAAGAGAGTATGTTGGGCTAGCGGGATTGGAGATGGGAGTGATGGGCTTTCGATGAGGCTTGATTTGATCGCTTGGGTAGCGCTGGCGTGCGCTAGGCTCATTACTATGTCTGATGGCGAAGCAGTTTGGGTTTCGTTGGAAATTTGAAATTTGTGACCTGTAACTCACGGAAACGTCGTCATTTGGGCATTGAGTGAGGTAATGCCACGGTGTACGTGTCGGGCTGACGCGAATTGAAGGCCAAATGGGTGGCTACTAAATGGGTGGTAATTCGGTGGGTTGGGAGGCGCGGGGATGAGGGGACTGAGTGGACGTCCTCTGCATAGAGCGATTGGAGCTGAGATCTCACGGCGTCTGGGCTCCTGGGCTCTTCTCTGTCTTGCGCTGCAGGGCACAGGACGGCTACAAGAGCTGGTGGAATACGACGTGATGATGGGGGAGGCAGTGAGTGTGATTGTGAGGAGCGAGTCCATCCAAGGATCACTCGCGACGATGATGTTGATCGCTAATTTAGCGTCGCATTGTTGGGCCGCACACCCACAAAATGGTAGGGTATGGGCGTATTCCATGGGGTTTGGTCGGTATTCGTCACGGATGCTAGACCTGAGAGCGAGAGCGAGGGAGATAGAGAGATAGAGAGAGAGACAAAAAAGGGGGGAAGTAAGTATGGTGGAAAAGCTATCAGTGGCGTCGAAGTTCACCTTTGGGGCGAGGGCTCGGTGAACACTTGGCTGTCGTTGTCTCCTCGCTGAGGTAACAAAGTACATGGCCTTCGGTCGTCGACACACGTACAAATCGTGCGATGAGTGTGGACTGGATTGAGAGGGGTAACACAGTGTGATTGGCCTGTGGTTATGCCGAACGGTGGCATTTTTGGCGCAGTATCGGGCAGTCTGTAAACTCAGTGAGTTACATGAAAATTGTGCACGTACAATGTTTGTAGATCTACCCGCTTGCGTTTGGCCGCAGCGAGCAGACACTAACACAGAAATCGTGTGGTGCCCCTGGTGAGAGACTCTGAGTGGTCTGGATCCAGACCGTAGAAAGGATTGCCGGGTGGTCATCACGGTCTATGCGGATAGAAGCGTGTTGTGTGGAAACAGTGCCGGTAGTGACGTGATAATAATGTGCTTGGGAAACTGCGCTGATAGTGGCGTGGAAATGGTGTGCTTGGCCAGCGCACGAACGAATCTTATGGTGAAAGCAGACTGGATTACGAATATTCGGTGATTGACCGAGGTTCATCAGGGCATCTTCAATAAGACTAAGAGCGAGGTGTTAGGGAGCAGTGCTGGTAGTGGCGTAAAAACGGCGCACGTGGAGGGCGCACGAATAAATCTCGGCATGCTTTGAGGGGATGGAAGAAAACTAAACAGTGTGAGGTCGATGCTGGCAACACTTTGCCTTTTCAATTAACAAGGCAAATTCAGCCGCATTGACTTGACGCTCGTCTGGCTTCGGTGGACGACGTGTGATTTGGAAGTCAGTAACAGTGGTACGGACACTATGCCAGTGTTGGTTGTTGGCATTTCCAGGTATGACTTTTTGTATGAGTGGAAAATGAAAGGCAAAGGTGCGAGGCTAGAATGTGAAGGATTAGGAAGGACTAAAAGGCCCGATGAAAAGTCCAAAGCCCTGATGGAATTCTGTCGTAACTGCTGGGTGGTAAATGTTGATGAAGAAGAACAGAGAACAGTGGGAAAATGTGGATTTGGAGTTTTCGACACAAGCTCTGAGTGCTCGTCATGGAGCTGTATGTGTGCTGCGACAGAAGCGTGATGTCCCACAAAGGCAAGTGGTCACGGATAAAGCGGTGTTTACGGACACTCGCTGAAGTACTTCTGCAGCAATCCGCCAGAAAGCAGAAGCCAGTACGTCCTGTCTGTACCTTACACTCTCACTTGGCTGTACTCGTTCTATATGCCGAGATGAATTTTTACTATGCCATGCGCCTCTTGCATTCTTGAAGCAAGGAGGCGATCGCGACAACCAAGATCACAAGAAACACAACAGGAAACTTGGCCATAGCCAGACAACGAGACGAGAGCTTGGATCCCCTTGGAAAAGAACATGTCGTTTCCCACATTTACAAAGTGGCTTTGCCCGATGCCCTGCTGCTACCAGTTCGGTGAGCTTGTTGTGTGATCGCCCAAGTCGCAAAATCTCTGCAACATCAGCCCAAGTGGTATTGTATATCCCGACTCACCCTGCCGCTGTCGTTGGCCCGAAATTTTCTAAGTCCCAGATTTTTGCCAACTCCCTATGGTGTAAACGGGGAAAGCAGGCCAGAAATTGCAACGAAGCGTCGTTGATGGAGATTTCGATGCACAGTGGGTGGTGACGAAAATTAGACACGTCCTTGCATACCCTGGGAACATCGAAAAGCTTCTGGGATGTTTGAAAAAGCTTGGAGTAATTTTCGAAGGGTCGATAGATGATGCGGTGTGCAAGTGCAGTGCTACCTATGAGGGGTGAGTGTGGTGCGGCCAGGCTGCCAGCACGCACTCCACACACACACATAGATGTACCATGTACATTGTATTTGGATGGCCTTGATCACTGCACAAAGTGATCAGATCAGAAGGTATGCACGCGGATTTCCTGTGTCCGGTGGGGACTCCGATGGCTTGGGTGGAATTGGATTTGGATAATGCGTTTTCGATCAGGTTTGGCTTGATCGTCATAAGGGTGGTGCTGGCGTGGGCAAAGGCGATTTCCGCGTGTGACGGCCAAGAAATTGGTTTCTCTGTGGGTTCTCGACATTTCCGACACAGGCACACAGAAACGTCGTCAATACCGAGATAGAGAGAGAGAGAGAGTATGTTGGGCTCACGTGATTGGGAACGGGAGTGATGGGTTTTCGATGAGGCTTGTTTTGATCGTTTAGGTGGCGCTGGCGTGTGCAAGGCTCGTTACTATGTTTGATGGCGAAGCAGTATGCATCTCGACGGAAATTTGAAATTTGTGACCTGTGGCGCACGGAAACGTCGTCATGTGGGCATTGAGTGAGGTTGGCCACGGTGTACGTGTCGGGCTGACGCGAATTGAAGGCCAAATGGGTGGCTACTAACTAGAAGGGTGGTAATTCGGTGGGTTGGGAGTCGCGGGGATGAGAACTTCTCTCGGGACTGAGCAGACGTCCTCGTTGTAACAGTTACTGCTCGGCCGATGCTGCATAGAGCGATACGAGCTGACATCTAACGGGACTGGGCTCGGCTATACGAGCTGGTGGAATATTATGTGATGATGGTGGAGGCAGTGAGTGTGGTTGTGAGGAGCGAGTCCATCCAAGGATCACTCGCGACGGATGATGTTGATCGCTAATTTTGCGTCGCGTTGT